GGCCAGCACTGATTGGCCAAGAAATCTCTCTGACAGCAAGTGATGGCCAAGTGGGGCGTGTCATCACAACTTTACACAAGTGTGTCTTTACCTCCGCAGCAGAGGCTCCACCGAACACCTGAGACCGGCTCATYGAACCCCTAGGGTTCGATCGAACCCAGGTTAAGAACCACTGCTCTAAATTATGCTTTAAATGTTTAGGGTTTGATACATGTCTCCCAGGCAGGTTCACACTGCTGGTCATTTTGCTCAGTTGCTGGCTAAGATGGCATCATGTCTACCCTCTGCTCCAGCAGCTACATCTTCCTAATTATACCTAAAGCTCACATCTCCTTTTGGGCATTCAACATTTCAATTTTCTGCTGCTAATRATTGGAGCCCTCTACAACAAATTCAGACTTACCTGTACTTCTATGGTGTATTTGCATCATTTAAACTCAGTGAAAGTGTCACTTAATGATCGCTGCACCTGCAGCAATTTCCTCTGCAGTCTCTRCTTGTACCCTGAACCGTCAGACATTTGTACAAAGTAACGTTTGATTGTCAGCTGTTTGTATCCACTCGCTATTTGCTGTCTCTTGGCCAGGTCGTCGTCGTAAATAAGAATTTGTTCTCAACTGACTTAAGTGGTTAAATATACATTGGTCAAATAAAATGGAAAATTCAAAAAGTTTAGTACAACAAAACAACAGGGCTTTTTTTATTTTTGTAGTCAAGAATGATTTGCTTCCCATCCAAGGAGCTTTATAAATTTAAAACTGAAGAGTCCAAGCTTTCAACTGCATGTTGGTATTGATCACATTTATATTTGGATTGATTCAGATAGTTCTACTTCAGTGACGTAAAAGTCAAATGAAGTGTGATCATTCAAATTGAGGTCACCCTTAAAAATCCTATATGAATTCTGTTAAGTATTTGCTATGAATGCTCTGTAATGACGTGTTTAATTATTTAATGTGTTTTGTGTTTTATGTGTGTTTTGTTRCGTGTTTTGTGTGTGCACTTTTACTTGAATTCTCCTCACTTGTGTGTCTCATGTTTATATGTATATCCTAACATTACTTCGCCTGAGGGACAAACAGATGAAAACTAGCCTTGGGCTACAATCTGTCATATTTACAAATGTTGTTTGGTCATTAATATGCAGCATCCTTGTTTTAAATAAATAAATCTGAAATAAAAAGAGCTTCTCCTTTAAGCTCATTTAAAGTTTTCATTTTGATCAACTAAATTTGGAAAAGACTGAGCTTAAATCGGACGAAATCCACATATATTTTGACTGAACTTTATGTTGACATGCAGCTCATATCCTGTTAACGCTGTTTGTTTTGAATATAGTCAAAATTAGCTCTTTTGCTACCCAAATTTTCTTACTTTTTGTGTGACTAAAATATTAAAACATTCATACAAAAACCCACCTCATCAAGATTTTATCCTTGGAGTTTTCAAAGTAACTCTCTAAATATTCTGGAAAATGGCAAAAGAAAAATATTTAGAGTGACTGCCCTGACCTGAAGTTCACCTTTTAGCAAAGTGATTCTTGTCCTCATTGCGCAGCTCAAACAACAGCCCGTTTCTGACAATGATGGAGAAAATTTAAGTTCCTCCGACAGCTGCTGCTGACAAGGCTCGCCACTCAAAAGTGAGGTGAGTGTTTTGTATGTAAGAGTGATACATCTTCAATTTCATCGTTGTGTTTCATTTTTAATTCTCCTCAAAATCGAGTGAAACGTGGTGCAGAGGCTTTAGCTGTTTCAGGGCCAACCTTTTTTTCTTTACCTCAATATTCAAGTAGTCTTTCACATAACTGTTGAAACGCCTTGTTGAAAAGAGTCCAAAGAAATCTAAATACATATTTTTATTGTGTTTTATGTCAACTGCTTTCACCTCTGTGGGAAGTTGTTCATAAAACATATTATTTAAAGGGGCAATATCATGCAAAATCAATTTTTTTTAGTTTTATATCAAGTTATAATGTTATACTCTCATAAAAAAACATGCCCAAAGCCTTGCATGCATTCATATATTCATATTCAATGCATGCATTCACTCATTCATGCATGTTTGAGAAATCCTGCAGCGTTTTTAGGMAGCCATGCTGAGGAGCAAAACAACAGGTGGGGACCAGAAACRCCTTTTGGTACCAGAAATGCCCCTGGGACGTGTCTTTAAGCAGAGCTTCCTCATCACGGAGCACACGTCCCCACCTCCCACCCCACACACCCCGCCCATGACTCCTGCAGGCTCTCGGCAGTAACAGAGCAAAAGTGAAAGTGAAACTTAAGCTGTCTGCTGAGATCCACTACTTCTCAGTGAAGCACTTTTCAGATTGAAAAAACCTTTGAGGAAATGTATTTTCAGATGCCAAACTGCATCTTAGCGCACGCTCGAAGCAACCCACCCACCCTCGCACACAAGCCCACCCCTGCACCGAACGGGACAGAAGAAGAAGGTGGTTCTTAAAGAGACAGAGGCCAATTTCAAGGCGTTTAGAAGAGGAAGTGATGAGAAGATAAGTTTGTTTTCTATTTAAACATAAAAACAACATTTTGATAACAACTGAAGGTGACATAGACACTTTTTTATGGTATAGAATTTAAATAAATGCCTGAGAAACACATAATACTGCCCCTTTAAAATAACCAAATATGTTTTTTTTTTCAGAAATTGTCTCACTTTTCATTTCAACTTGTCATATTTAATTATTCACATTGAAAGTAAACAAAATAAAGCAATAAACGCACATATGTGTTAACTTACAAATCATACATGTTTAAAAAGTGCCTTATGCTTGATCCACAGTGTCCTTGCAGATATTTTTTGTGGCAAATAAACAAATTACTCAAAACCTGTGAGGCCCGAGCTCCTCACTAACCGTATGAGAGAGTGAGTTTTGTGCACTGGAGCGTCACTGAGTCTCAACAGTAAAAAGCTGATGCTGGAAAGCAAAATAAAGTGCCCATTTGGAGGAGGCGTTCGCAAACAAGTCGGCACTCCTGTGCTACATGTTTCCACTCCGGTGGGACCGGTAATCATCTTCATGTCTGTGATCCTGGTGGTGAAAGGAAGGGGCCCAAAGCCTCTCCTTCAGGCTTCGCAGGCCTCCAACCCCCCTGGAGACGGAAGGGAGCGAGAGAGGGAGGACGCCGCCCGCTTCATCCATCCACTGCAGGGAGCGAGACGACGCTGATGGGCAGAGACGTGGAGGAGGTGAGTGAGTGTGTGTGGCTGTGATCGCGTGACAGAAGGCGTGTGTGTCAACAGACCTTTGGTGGCTGCGTATTCTGCATGGCTGCTCAGGCTGTAAGGCTCGGGCTGGAGGTGGGAGGAAAGGAGCAGGGAGAAGGASAGGAGCAAAACCTGGACACAAATAAAGGGCACAAAATAGAAGCCATGCAGAGAAAACCATAAATGAAAGGGAAATGAACCAACACGGAGACAAAATAAAACAGCCTTATCACGCATGACCTACTTTACATCTTGCACAAAAGATGAGAACAGGTGTTATTATTCAAACCGTCTATTAAACCCAAAAGGTRAGTGCAGTGGGAACACAGGCGGTGTTTTATTGATGCCACTCTAATGTTTCATACATTTTTACTGCGTCTGACTTTGTATCTGGCGTGTCTGAACAATTTCTCCGTGGTGCAAACAGAAGCRCTGCGGCGTCGGCTCTCACCAGGATGCAGGTTCCTGTGTTTGTTGTTTTGTTGGAGCTATTAGGCGAGAGCGCCTGTAGCCGGTCGAGCTGCTCCAGCAGAGCTCTGCAAACACAAAGAAAGGCGGAGAGATGAAAGAGATTGTGTGAAAGTTTCACATGAGGGGCCCCAAGATGAAATGCAGGCATCGCTTTTGCAGCCCCTGTGATCTCTGGCAACTGAAGCAAAGAGAGGGAGAACAGGAGCGAAACAGAGAGTGTGTGTGGAGCTCCTTCCCATTTATTATTATTTTAGTCTAGGCTTTCTGCTCGCCGCAGCACCCTGCCAGCATCAGAGAGAAAGCTACATAACTAGGTGTCATAATGAAAGGAAGAAGAAGAAGAAAAAAACAGAAACTAGAGCGTTAATTTTTAGAATTTGTACTGAGGCTGTTTCACACAGACAGATTAATGCGCAGAGTCAGAAATATTCTTATCCAGGCTGTCAGCGCCCCGAGAGGAAGAGCCTGAGGCCATCTGAATATAGATCGACTAATAACACAAACTGACACGAGCCAACTCTTAACACGGTGTCAAAAGGAGGACAAAAATATGATCCAAGTAGTTCAGCAAAATTAAAATCCTAAGCGTGAAATAATGGTTTGGAAATTTAGGATTTACACATATTATCAGAATTCAATCTAAATAAGTTGCCCCTGAATACAGAGGGAAAATAAAAAGCCTAGCATTCCTCAAAGGAATCATCCACCACCCTCCTTGCCAGAGTTTCACATTAAAACCATCTGATGATAAAAAAAGGGACAGAGCTAAAACACATTGCTAAGCTGTGGTGGCCCTCTTGAYTGAGGTTGATTCCAAAAGTCAGTTATGACTGAACAAACATCCAGTTTCTGCAAGTTTCATTAAAATCCAACCAACTGATTAATGAGATGATTTGCTAATGCACATTCAAACAGACAAAAAAACCCCCAATGAACATGACTTCTGTGTCTAMAAAGTGAAGCCATTTTAAAAATGCTTAAAATTCTATCCAAAGACCAGCAGGGGGCGCCTGCGCTGATCAAAGAAGTCTGACCACTGGAAGTCCATAAGAACATGACCTGACTTCACATTTATCCCGTTTCTCTGTGTGAATTCCTGGTCTTCATTGCACGAACTAAAGAGCATACATTTTATGTCCTCATATTAAAACTTTAACTAAAACAAATAAGTTGTAAGAGTAATGAACAGCAAAAACGGGACATAAATCTAAATTAATAGCCGTTAAAACATTGCCTGAACTAACTCCAGTCTGTTTCCTGTTTGTTTTGTTTGTTTGTTTATTTTTGCTTTCAGTTTGGCTCTCCTCATCAAACAAAAGAAGATTTAAGGAAAATTTGGTCATCTTCCATGACAGTGATCATTTGGAGGCCCGGCTGAGAACTCACTTGTTGGTCTCTTCTAACTGCTGGATCTTTCTCTGAAGCTCCAGGTTCTGGGCGCTGCAGGCAGACATCCTGCAGAAAGACAGAGAACAAAACATGAATAAATGGAAGTAGACAGCTGATGAAACAATCATTTCTTTTTTTAGTTAAGATGCGCCTCCCTCTTCGYCGATGTCCATCTGATTATTATCAGTGTTTCTGAATCAGCATCCATAATGACCCTCAGATGATCATAATATCCGGTTGATCCGCTCCGTTTGCAGCTGGTTTATTCACACCAAACGCTGACTCGGCTCAACAATCTCCATCTCAGCTCATTGTGAAACTTTTTATTAGAGCTCAAGCTCGAATAAGATATATGAATAAAAAGTATTCTATTAAAGCAGCTATTTGCAGATTAAAAATAAAACACACATGAAGGTTTTAGTGATTATTTGCAGGCCTTGCTCCATATACAACTGATTAACTGCACACAGTGTTTACAACAAGGTTGAAAAGCAACAGTCTACTGATTTCAAATATAGACTGAATCATCAGTTACGTATGCAGACATAAGCACAAGCTAATTATGGGTGCCATAAGAACTGAAGCACTCTTATACTGTTAAAAAAGTGTTCTTTTGTCGACCAGCCTTGGAATAAAACATGCAAAAAAACACCAGAATGTGTGGCTCAATTAGGAATGGTGTGACGTGAGTTTTGGTAGTTGTGTATTACACAATGTAGACAAAATGGATGAAAAAAAAGTAAAAATAATGGAGATGAATGGGATTTTAAAACCCATCCCGCTGGTAAATGTCACAGAAAGTTGGACTTTCCATGTCTGAAACTGGCATTTTATCTCTTACACAATTCAAATTTTATGATTTTTATAGAATTTTTCACAGATATTTTAGGATCTAATTTATAAGTTTCTATAGGTTTCACAGAGCGACTGTTTGAGGCTTACTTTTTAGTCTGCTTCTGTCTCTGTTTCGTTAAAGGAGACATGTCATACTTTTAAATAATTTTTTTTCACTATGAAATCACTCACTTGGTATCTAKAYAAAGTGAAACTGCATTGCTTTGGTCTGAATTCCTCCTTATTGTAACTCCACAAGCCCCTCTTTCACCACTTTTCTGAGGTGTGTCTCAGATCAACTCGTTTTGAGGCTGTCTCTTTAAATCCAAACCAAGCGCTTCACGCTCACCTCCAGCTTCCAGAGTGGTCCATTCTAGTTTGAGGGGTTTGCGACTATATAGTGACTCAGAAATGTTTTATTTACAATTTAATTAAAAGATGTCAACAATTGAAGACTTGTCCACCCAGCCTCACTTGTTGGAGCCAGAGTCTGACCCAGAGCCAGAGGAGAATGAAGACGACCAAACTGTAGTTGGTGAATCCAGACCTTCTTGGWAACGCTTTCTTTTACAGTACCCTTATTACCATGTAATTACGTGGTAATYAGGGTGCAGTTTTACTAAGTAATTAATTTTCTGCAGTAATGTAGCACTTACCTGGTAATGTATAACAATTCACTATGTAACACCTAAATAAGTAGTAGGTAATTTGGACAGTTTTAAAGTTATATTTTATTGCAATTAACCACTAACCCCAAAATTTAGTTGCATTCTTTTGATTATAAATATAGTGTTGAGTTACTATTGAATAGTAATTTGATTGTAGTTACCCAATAAAGGTAGTTTTACTAACAGTAGTTTTTCTTTTGTGCCGTAATTACCACGTAATTGCATGGTATTAAGGTAGTAATTGCATTTAATTACATTTGTTATTACCTAGTAATTACATGGTAATAAGGGTAACGTAAAAGAAAGCATTACCACCTTCTTTAGAAGTTCTGTCACAAATAATTTGACGTAATAGTTCAGAAAGCATCATASAGAATAGAGAAAACTGAASCGGTTGAAAAAWACGGCCCAAACAGAATATATATCTACACAGAACAGGCAGAGACTAAATTAAACTTTTCTGCACTTTTGAAAACTCCAACTACACAACAAAGTGGATTAAAAAGTGGATTTTGCATATTTCCTCTTTGACTCAGGGAGTGTCAGACAGGTATGCACCATGGTGACCATATCGAGCCACTGGCAGCAGCTTTATTATGATCTCACGCTTCTTATACAGTCTCTACATACAGTTTTTTTTTTTAAGGTTAGATTGATGTTGGAGTTTTGGGCACTTTTTCAGAATTTCCTTCAAAATTTTCTAACTTATTCTCCTCCAAGTGTCATTCGCGGCACGTGGAGGGTGCGAGACCTGCAGAGGGTCTGCAGGCAGCCGAGGAACAATCAACCTGACCGCGTGTTCATCAGCGACTAAACGAAGAGGAACGGCGTCCCAGCTGCATGTACCGCCGCACGCCATTGTTTGTGGGGGTGTGATGAGGTGAAAAGAGCCAACATGTGAGAGGCGGGCATGGCAGGTGCAATTCTGTTGATAAATCTGCTGGCTGGGCTGGTGGGTATATCACTCTCTACAGCCTGGAGGCAGAGAGGGAGCAAAACGACTAAATGGAGCAAAGTCTCAGCAGAARCTGCGGCCTTTGGTGTGTCGTGTTGCATCATCTTTAGGTTTTGTTTGAACCCTGCAGCAGCTATGTGCTGTTGATGTGCTGCTGGACTGGAACGTAACTATAACCGCACACCGCCTGACACAGGCTGAATATTCAGTCCAAAGCATGAATCACAAACCGGTTATCTGATARATTCTCAAAGTTCACACCACTACTCGGCGGTGGCCTTCTGTGGCATTAAATGCTGCTTCGTGATTGTGCTGCAATAAGAATGTGGAGCTGCGTATCAAAATGTCCCCCAGTTCTTATCTCCACCTGACGTGACAGTTCAGGATAGGAGCTGGCACGCCGTTTGCTCCTCTGAATCGATGTCGCTGTCACAGCTAATAGAGGGAATATGTCTTTGGAATAACAGAGTCGCTCTCAAGAACTGTAGCAGCCGTGTCACGAATGATTAAAACAAAGAGCTACGAATCTGCTCAAAGAACCTGCAGCCTTTCTCACATTCAAAACAGATTTAATCCAAAAGTAAACCTGAGGTATAATGTGGATTGTGGGAAACAATGACGAACATCAACCCTTTAAAATCTAATAAAAATAAAAGCGCTGCTGACAGTGTGGGAATGTGTTCCGTTCTCCTGCATCTCTTTCGAATTCAATTCAAATATGCATCACTTCAGTGTTTGGGATTATTTTCTCTCTCTTATAAAGTGAGAAGTGTTAAACTGAAGCTGAATATTTCACTGGACAGCTCAGCTATTGGACTGGAGGACCAAAAATAGGAAGAAATAATCTCTTTGATGGGGGTGGGGGATTTCAGAAAAGCTAGATGAACTTTTTGTCGGAGTCTGAGGGACAAAACAGAAATCTGCCTTTTCTGGAAGCAGGTCAGCTCTGCGTGTGGAGAGGTGAAGAGAAAAGGAGCAGTGCAAAAATGCTTTTAGTATTCCTTCTAGTTATGTGCTGCAGGTAAGCTGCTGACTCCTTAATTGAAAAAAAAATTCTTAAAAACAAAAAAATAATAAATAATAAAATGAACTTYAAGACTTTATTGATCCATTCATGGTGTGATTTATAAATTCTTTTTTAGATGTCAGCTCCACAAATTGGCTCTCTGTCATCAACAAGGAGATACATTTTTGAATGTCCTAAAAAAGAAAAGATGAGGAAGTTGATGAAGCAGCTGGTGGACACGTGAACTTTGACCTGTCAAACCAGCAGCTGGATCACAGAAAATAATCAACATCTTTGGAAAAAACATTGGAGATATTCTGTTTGAGCCCTCGTTTTAGTTTTTTCTAACCAAGGGTTCTGTGAGCTGAATGTGTTTTATTGCAAAGTGAATCACAAGTTTCAGTGAATGAACAYGCTTTTATTCCATCAGCTTGACTCAAAAATGATTAAAAACAACRAACCTTTGCCTCTTTAAAGGTTTGTTGAAGGGAACGAAAAATACAGGGTCGCGGGTGCAAACAAATAAGAATGGATAAAAATGCAACTATCTAGGTCAAGTCACGCAGAAATCACGTCATGTTGAGCAGAAGATGCTGAGCACAGTCGGCGCCTACCTTCCTTCCAGACTGTCAACGTATTCCCTCTTCTTCTTCCGACTTTCTTGAGCCGAGTGCTTGTTGCGGATCTTCCGCCGGATCTTCTTCAAAATCTTCTCCTCAAACTTGTCACAGAGATGAAACAGGTGTAGGAACAGGRACAAGAAAGGAACGAGGAAGGTAAGTGAGACAAAAGTGGGTTAGTACTGAGGAGAGGGGGTGTAAAAGTTGTGCAGCTGAACCAGATTTAGACTTAAAAAGAGGAACCAACAGATGTGAGTGTGTAGACTGTATGTGGATCATGCACCTACCTTGGACAGGGGCAGTCTGCAGGGCAAGCTGACACCTTCTTTAGCCAGAAGCTTCTTCTCATCCTCATTAAGTACAAGTTCCTGCAAGGAATGCTGGGGGATTCGCTGCGCCTGTCAAACAAAATTGCAGGTAATAAGACTCGTTTGAACTCACTGAAGGAGGAGAATGTCAGCTCATTATAAGGACCAAGGATGTTTTGCAGAACACCAAAATGTCTCAAACAAAACAAAGATCTGGACCAGTTCTGAACAGATTTTTAGGTAGCATTTAATAAAAGAGTTTGGGTTAATTAAAGTGCAAAAACATAATAAAATATGTTCATATGTTTCATACTGCTAGATTTCAAAAACGCTCTTATGTTTGAGAACTAATAAGCAGATGAGCAACATGGCTTTCAGTGTGTTTGCCAAGAATACTTTAATGAGGGACAGGAAAGTTATGATCAAACTGACATCCTTTTTGTCTGTGGTCACACCCAAATGAACGGTCAGCATCTTACCTGCGTTAGACAACAATCTGTGTGATCCCAGTTTGGAAAATCAAGTTGAAATCCTCATTTGCACTTCAGGCCAAACTCAAACTGTCTGAAACAAGTTTAGGTTTTGCTAAATTAAATATTTTTACGCCTTGTCACATCCACACATTGTTTGTGGTTGTTTATTTTATTTTATTTTTTTGCAGCAAAACAATATTTATGCTGCTATGAGTGTAACATGATTTTAAACTATCTCTGATGGTCATCAGGAGGTTTCCATACACTCAAACTGAAACACACTGGAATAGCCAAGCACAGCACAGTTCATGCTAAGTAAGAAACTGTGCGGTGGAAATGTAAGAAATGTGGTGTCGCTAGTTGCTGCCAGCATGGTTGCAGACTATCAATATATGTTTGAAAAAGACTAAAGTCAGCTAAGAAGCTAAATATTTTGCTATTTCTTGTTTGATTGTAGTAACATATGTGTTAAAAATGTGGCATTTCATTGATTTTCATGTTTAAAATATCAATYTAGTATGCTGTATCCAGAGCCGGCTCTTGGCATAGGCGAACTAGGCAGTCGCCTAGATMGCCATCTGCTGGAGGGGGTGCCAAACAGCTGAAGAAAAAAAAGTAATTACCGGTATTTGTAATCCCTGGTTGTATATGTGCTCAGCACCCCTTTCAATTAGCTTTGTCTTAAAACACTATAATGAAGTATTATAGGAAAAATAAACTTCTCTACCCATTAAACATTTTCTCCACCCCCCCAATGCAGCAATCGCCCCCCACCCTCTCTCTCATTTGATTGACGTTGCACTGACTCGTCCTGCTCCGACACTCTGATGGGGGAGGGGCTAGTAGTGCCTTTCAGTTAGCGGTTTGTGTTGACAAACTCAAGAACAATTTGTATTTTGTTGTCCCATACATGTCAACCTCTTTGGATGTTTACCTGTATAAAAAAAACCCCTAAAAAATCCATAAATTTTGCAAAAAATCCATACAACTCACACGCGTGGGGATGGGGGGTCAAAACTCATTTCTAGCAGCAGAACAGGTTGGAAGATGGCTATTTAATGTTGTTCATTGGTTTTTAAATCATCCTACAGGCTTTAACATGTTGGATAAATTTGAAAATGAGGTTTTGAAAAGACTTGAAAAAAATCCGTGAGATTGCCCTATATGTCCGTGTACCTGCAAAATGACGTAAAATCCTTATAACTTACGCACAATGCGTACAAGTTGACATGTACTGTAAGTTGTTTCTTTCTGGGAAAGCAAATAAATCTAAGTTTACCACAGTACCTTACACTGTCAAACTTGTTTTTAGGGGCTCAAATTGGGGTGGGTGGGACATAGTTGGGGGGGGGGGGGGTTGCGCTTCAACTCGCCTAGGGCACCAAAATGCCTAGAGCCAGCACTGGCTGTATCTATTACATCTGGGATCATCACAGTCTCCAGTCTCACTGTAAAACAGGAAACTGAGGGTCAGCATTTTCCACCTAATAAAAATATTCCACCAATGTTAGTAACATACTGTTTTAAATAACAKCTATTATTCTACTAAACTAACATGTTTTATTGATGAAATGTGTGTCAAGTCATAGTGGATTATTGTATAGAACACAAAACATTGTCAGTTTAGTTAAGTTAAAGTCTGTGAGTCCTCTTGTTATTAACTACAGACAGMAGAGCTTTGGATAGTTAGGGAGACATGTAAAGTACTTAATTATTTAAAGCTGCTTAATTACTTAAAATGCATTTATGCGCTGGTCTGGCTAGAACTATACTAATTACCACAGCTTATTCCAGCAGAACATTACAAGGCTTGGTGGGAGGCTCGTTACAGCTTTGTGTCCCCTGTTTTTATAAAATGCATGTGTTTATTTTGGTTAAAAAATGTCATTTCTGTGCATTTTTTGGACTGATGACAGCTAACAGTGAGTACAAGGTGCAACGTTGGGGTTGTTATTTCAGATGGCAAAACATGAGCTTTTAAACACTCTAAAGATCTCTTAACTTTATGATTATAACTGTTATAAATGACCACCTTACATATCTTGTTAGCATTTTTGTCCACAAATCGTGTGTGTTTTATGAATTTTCCAGGCACATAGTTCAGTTCTAAACCACAATCAATTAACTAGGTTACCTTCAGTTGTTATGAAAATGCGGTATATATCAAAAAATAAATTTGACTTTGCATCATAGTCTATCTAAACACATTTGAATGGGCCTCTGTCTCTTTAAGAACCTCCTACCATTTCTGACACTCCCACTTCAGCATGTCTTCACAATAATGCTACGTGGGGAAGGAGCTCAGCTGCAGACTGAGCTCCAGGGAGGAGCTTTGTACAAATGGGCGGTGTTTTGTAGCAGCAAGTGTTTAGGCAGCTCCACATGGCTACCACAGGAGAGTCAAGGATTACAATGAGTCAAAGCAACACTGTGGGTATGTTTGATGAGGCAATGACTTTATAACATATATAATGCTCAAAAAAGCCAACTTTGCATCATACTCCTTTCAAAATAATCTAAGCCTGAAATAAAAATATCAACTTAAAATGACTATTTTCATAAATTTAGCTCCATAAGGGCCTTAAGTTTGACAAAACTCCACATTTCAGTTATTTTTTGTTTTTAATAGTAATGTAAAACAATCTACTTCAGGATGTCAGAATGGATTTTTGGACATTTTTTTAAAAAATCCAGTCCAAATTTTTCAGAAAACCTCAACCAACCATCATTGTCATTCATGGATGATTCTTCAAAGTGTGTTTTTGCTTTTTTACATCCAAACTAAAATAGTTTTGTCAGATGAGATGTGAGACACGGCTTGACAGTAACTACAAAGGAGGCAAAACTCTTGTCTAATAAAAGTTGAACTCTTCTTACTGTCTGTCCCAGATTGGTCAAAAGCAGGTCCTTCACTGTGAGCGGATGGCTGGATGTGAGCAGGGGGGGTTGGTTCTTGGAGAGGTAGTACGTAAGTCCGAACTCCTCCGGGCAGCCGTCTGACTCCCAGCCTGCACAACAACACAGAAACAACAATGAAACAGGTGATTGTGACATGCAAAGTTGGTCATAATTGCAAATCGAACACATCTTTGAACAAAAGGCCTTTCAACTCTTCGTTAAACACAAAAGTAGAAGGAAAAAAAGAAAAAAATGAAAGAGAAATTGTTTTTTGGTCATTACAACTCCACGTTAAAGCTCCAGGAAGTGATAATATTTGAGTTTTCTTCTAGTTTTTCTCAGTTAAACACAACATTTTCTTCGAGCAATTTGGCAGAGAAGAGCATTCTGCAGCAGATAGTTATTTTGTTTTTTTTTTTCCTGGAAAAATGAGAAAGAAAATGGGTGATTTGGTACAAATGATGCTCTGGAGGGGATTGAGGTGATGTCAGCAAGCAGTTCTTGCTTTATCCACAACTTTAAGCAGAAAATGAGGCAGTGGTATACATCTATGTAGCCTATTACATTCATTTATTTTAATCAACACTTTATCTTTTCAGGAGCAGGACTAAAGAAGGAGAAGAGGCAGAAAAGATAAGGAGGCTGATGAGATGTTAAAAAACTCTGAGGAAGGTATCAGGAAGACGAGATGCTGCGTTAACGCGGTTTGTCACAGTTTGAGTCGGTTGCACTTCAAAAGCGCCTCTTGTCGCACGGCAGGAGCAAAACCACAGACGGCGGGGCTGAAAAATTATCTTCATCAGCGTCAAGGCTCCTTTTTCATCCCAGAGTTGTACTCCTGCTGCTGACAAAAATAATCATGATAATCATAACTGCTCTGAATGAGGACGGGGATTGTAATCGTTTGTTTAGTTTGTTGTCGTGTTTGTGAAAGCCACAGGCTGAGCACATGATACCAACATGACATCCTATTTTGATTCTGCACTGTAATAACTTGAAAATGGTGCAACTTTGCAGGGAGAATCCAAAAATATTAAGCCCCCACTGTTCAAAGATGATAAAAAAATTGTTAAAAACCATGTGGAAGGACCCACAGATCCATGAGACATTGATAAACCTTTGAAAATGTTTTTGCTTTTATTTTACTTTTAATTTATTTTATTTTTATATTTTTTATCATTCACCTGTAATCTGCTCCATCATCTCTCTGATCTTACATACATACTTTTATTTATTTTTTTTTAGTTTAGTGGATGTTCCTAACAAAATTAAACTGATATTATCTGACATAACAAGGCAGAGTCATAATAAAACATAAATAAAAAAATCTGTAGTCCTCAACATGCCTTGAAATTAGGCAAATACAACTTAGATAAATAAGATCATCTAATTATATAAATGTTAAAATAGGAAGCATTTTAGTAAAACTGAAGCGCACCCCCACTGTTTGAGTCTAAATTAGAGGGCTGGTAGCAGCGGGATGCTGATTATATAATGCACCTCATTCAATTTTTTTCCAAAGAAATGAATAATTAAATGACTTAAGAGCTTCATTCCAGACTGTTGGATCTTAAAGTCCATGACAAAACAGCAGAGGGACTTTTCTCTGTTCTGAATAAACATATATTTGATTTGTGATCATCACATAAAGCACAATTTAAAAATTGGGGAAACCTTAGCTCAGTCCAAAACCTCTGCTGAGCACAATGATGGCGGTAGTGTTGTAGAAAATACCTCAAAGTGATACTTGAGTATTTTACAACAAAAATACTTTGGTAAAAGTTAAAATCTCCTATTACTTGAGTAAAAGTCTTAAAGTATCTGACATTCATTGTATCAAAGTAAAAGTATTGAGTAAAAGTAAGCTGTTAGAATTTCCAAATGACGTTTGTTTTGGGGTGACCTCCCGAAAAATACATTAAAAAAAACCATGATGATAATAATGTTAGACTGTATTAAAATGCTAATGTTGACAAACCTGGAATGCACAACTATACCAGTTTCAGCTGCATTTATTTCTGCCATGCTCATCTTCTAGGCCAGTGGTTGTCAACTCTAGTCCTCAAGGACTCCTTTCCTGCATGTTTAGATGTTTCCCTGATCTGACACACCTGGTTTGAATGAATGATCGATTAACAATTTTCTGAAGACCTGCTGAATAGCAGGGAAACAAGTAAAGCATGCAGGATAGGGGGACTTGAGGACCAGGATTGGGAACCGCGTCTCTAGGCTACATTCTTCTGCTGGAGTGTGAGGTGATCATACAAACCAATAGCATACTATACATATCAGTATACTTCTCATCCAACCATATGTATTTAGATTTATCTAAATAGTTTGATGACAAGCAAATATGAAATAGGAGTAAAGAGGATATTTTGTTAAATGTAAGGAGCAGTGGGACCGGAGGGTGTGCTCCAATTACAGGGGGGTCACACTCTTAAGCCTCCCTGGTAAGGTCTATTCAGGGGTCCTGGAGAGGAGGGTCCGTCGGATAGTCGAACCTCGGATTCAGGAAGAGCAGTGTGGTTTTCGTCCTGGTCGTGGAACACTGGACCRGCTCTACASCCTCAGCAGGGTCCTGGAGGGTGCATGGGAGTTCGCCCAACCTGTCTACATGTGTTTTGTGGATTTGGAGAAGGCGTTCGACCGTGTCCCAAGGGGGGCCTTGTGGGGGGTTCTCCGGGAGTATGGGGTACCGGGCCACTTGATACGGGCTGTCAGGTCCTTGTACGACCGGTGTCAGAGTCTGGTTCGCATTGCCGGCATTAAGTCGGGCTCGTTTCCGGTGAGAGTTGGACTCCGCCAAGGCTGCCCTTTGTCACCGATTCTGTTCATTACTTTCATGGACAGAATTTCTAGGCGCAGCCGAGGTGTTGAGGGGATCCRTTTTGGTGGCCTTAGGATCAACATCTCTGCTTTTTGCGGATGATGTGGTCCTGTTGGCTTCATCGGAACGAGATCTGCAGCTCTCGCTGGAGCGGTTCGCGGCCGAGTGCGAAGCGGCCGGGACGAAGCTCAGTGCCTCCAAATCCGAGGCCATGGTCTTGAGCCGGAAAAGGGCAGAGTGCCTTCTCCGGGTCAGGGGGGTCGCCCTGTCTCAAGTGGAGGAGTTTAAGTATCTGGGGATCTTGTTCACGAATGGGGGAAGAACGGAGCGGGAGATCGACAGGCGGATTGGCGCAGCGTCTGCTGTAAAGCGGGCGCTGTACCGGTCCGTCGTGGTGAAGAGAGAGCTGAGTCAGAAAGCGAAGCTCTCGATTTACCGGTCGATCTACGTTCCTACCCTCATCTATGGTCATGAGCTTTGGGTCATGACCGAAAGAACGAGGTCCCGGATACAAGCGGCCGAAATGGGTTTCCTCCGCAGGGTGGCTGGGCTCTCCCTTAGAGATAGGGTGAGAAGCTCGGTCATCCGGGAGGGACTCAGAGTAGAGCCGCTGCTCCTCCACGTCGAGAGGAGCCAGTTGAGGTGGCTTGGGCATCTGGTAAGGATGCCTCCTGGACGCCTCCCTGGTGAGGTGTTCCAGGCACGTCCCACCGGGAGGAGGCCCCGAGGAAGACCCAGGACACGCTGGAGGGACTATGTCTCTCGGCTGGCCTGGGARCGCCTTGGAGTTCCCCCGGAGGAGCTGGAAGAAGTRGCTGGGGAGAGGGAGGTCTGGGCCTCCCTTCTGAAGCTGCTGCCCCCGTGACCCGACCCCGGATAGGCGGAAGAAAATGGATGGATGGATGGATGGGTAAGGAGCAGTAATTACAGAGAATTTTGTGGAAACGTAAGGAGTAAAAGTAAAAAGTTGGCTGAAAAATATTTAGTCACACATGAGCCCATCAGACAGAAAGCTGAAGCTCCACGCAAACATGCATCAAGAAAACAGCAGAACGACATTACAAACAAAAAATAATTAATTATTAAGTTAAAATGCTGTCATGGGACCTGAGAAGAGATTTTTTTAATGGTGGGAGGGGGCACCTCAATAAATTGAAGCAAAGATTTAAAAAAGAATGGGTCAAACTTACTCTTCAAACAATTTACCCCATTATTTTGCAGGGTTATAAGTGATTAGGTACAGGTGTCCCTGTATTTTGACAGTTTTGTTCAGTAAATAATGAGTAAATTTCATTTTTTTTCTTGATTTTTTTTTTTTTGGGKGGGGGGGGGAGTTGTAATGTAAATTTACAAAAGAAATCTAAATCTAATCTAAAATATGCTGACTGGTGTTGCACAACTTTATAAAGCAGAAAAAAATAAAATAACAGTGAGTGTTGTCAGTTCAGTGTGGGGCTCTTTTTAAATTTAAGTCAAATTGAATGACACAACAGAACTTAAAGGTTACTTAAAAATGGCGTTGTCAAAATGGCTGCATTCATCTTTCAAATTAAGGTTTTCATCAAATCAGGAGAATTTGTGAGTCAAGTACGTTTGTTTCAAATTTGCTTCGAACCTTTACAATCACATCTGGCAGCAAAACACCTTAATGAAAAGTTTTGTGCTGTTTTCTCCTTTGATTTATTGCTTGTCTGTAACATGTCTTTTTAAAGTCAGCGTGGGATTTAACAAAAACACAAGAGTAGAGACAACTTAAACATGCAATTGGAAGTTTACATTAACAAAATCTGAACGGTAAATGTGTAAGAATGTTTTTAGTTTTAAGTTTTGGTTCTCTCATTTTTATGATTTTTCTTTCAGGGAAGGATCAGCATGACAACAGGTAATTTTAGAGCATCTTTAGTAAATTTGCTGACATTTTTATTGCTAAAAATGTTTTGAAATGATCAAAAAAAGCTTGTGTTTTTGTAAACAAAAATCTTCTCAAGGAGTACAAAAACAAAAGATGTCATTATTTGAAGGTCTGGATTTTATTAACCTGAGTTCTCAGCACTGTTTGTTTTTCTTGCAGATTATTTTCTGTTTTTTTATTTTGTCTCCTTCTCTGACTTATAGTCTTACCTAAATCAATGCAGACATCAGGTTTCTTTTCATCTGGTGCTAGGTGGTTCTCCAGAAACAGAGGCTGAGGGAAAGCGTGTGTGTCGAATGCAGGGAAAGCCGTGCAGGGGGTCGGATGGGGGCTGTCTGAGAGATCTGTCAGGAGGTCTTCATTAATGCTGTTATGGGTGGTGCAGGGGGACCACAGGGGTGAAGCAGGCACTGAGGAGGAGGAGGAGTCGTGCAGCAGGGCGTCTAAGAAATCATCAGCATCCCTTCTCTGAGGGCTCGGAGCCTGAGGAGAAGGAAGAAATGTACAAATCATCCCACTTTGTCCCCATTGCTGTGATCTAATCAGATAATTTCACACCGGCACGCAAACACAGACACAGAAACACGATTTGCAGCCAAGCGACTAGATTGAAACACTAAATGAGAGCTGATGCTGATGATATTGTGCTCATCCAGGCAGGATGTCTGCTCACGATCCACTTCACACGAGTACAACTTCCCATGAGCAACATAACGAGGTTTTGATGATGCTGTCCCCTGAGTGGCTCTGTTTAGGTACAAATAGTGCTGAACGTTTGAGGAACCTACATTATTAATGGTCAAAGTCCAGGGATGGTCACTGAGGCAGGCGGCTGATTCTTCTGTGTTCCTGAGCAGAAGGTTAAAGAGCTCCATACCATCTTGCCCCTGAAACCAATAATATAAATAAAAAAATAAAGCTGAAAGCCTCTTTAAAGAGAAGCAAACTTTTATTTTTTACATTTGGATTATTTGAGCAAAAAGAGTAGCTGTTTTAATTAGTCTTTWCATTTCACTTGTTTCTCCTCAAAGCTTTCACTCTGAGCAGCTGTTGATCTTACCACGTCTGTTGTCAGCGTCATTGCTCTGACATTAAAGTGATGAAATTTCAATTAAAAACCATCCAGCAACAGAAAAGCCGATCAGTTCTCTCCTCTGTGGGCAGCCGTGTGAGTAAGAGAGCTGCTTCAGACACTTCCAAGGGACAAAGTTGAAATGCCRTATGACAGAATGACACGGCTTATCACCGTCCAATCCAGTCGCAGCTGACAGCCGGGAGGGCCAATCGGCACAAAGGGAAACCTCTCAAATGGATTAATTAGTCAAAGTTAGTCAGAGGTGCTTCAGAGTGACCTTTGATGTCAGTGTTATTTAACAGAAATCATTCGCTCTGTGCTTTCACATTCATGTTTTAGTCAGATGGGTTTTAATTTTATAGCACTACCCTTTTATCGCTGTCAAGGGCAGAAGGTGGAGACACTGTTTAATCATTTAGATCTTGACTCATTACTGAGGATCATTCAGAGGTGATGCAGAATATGAAAGGGTTGGACCTGTTTTCACGAGCATTTTAGAAGCAGACAAGCAGCAGGTTTTTGTTAAAAAAAGAATCAGTATTCATGCTGGCACAATGATTTGAGTCAYTGAATATTAATACAAGCAGCTGGATCTGTTTCTTATGACTTCACAAGATCCAGATTCTGTCTCGTTTCATTTATGTCACTGTGCCAAGGTTACAAGTTCTGCCATTGCCCACCTGTATGGGGGGGTGGTCTGCAAAAAACACAACAGAGCTCAGCTAAATCACGAGATGATTTTAGTGTAACACTCTGACATAAAAAGTGGTGAACAAAATGGATTCTTTCAAGAAGTGTTAGCTTTCAACTGAAGACCGATCCAAACGAATTAACAATACCTGTAAGTAAAAGCCTGGAATCATGATAAAAATATTAACCGTTTAAATTTATATGTGCATTTATACGAAGACATGAGGAAAATCTGATAAATGTTTATTTTCTTTGCTTGTGAGCTAAAGCTTAAATGCTAAAAAGAAGAGGACCAAATATGGAGCCTTGTGGGACCCCACATAAAGAAAGATCAGATGATCTGGATTACAAATAAACATGGCGGGTCAAATGTTTAAAACAGAAGCATAAAGTAGTCCAAAAGTGGTGTTCTCAAATAATCCTCACTAAGAGTTAATACTGTTTGAAATATTTTAAATCTGATTGTATCGACCTGTAGTTGAATACATCATTTATAAAAAAGCATTAATTCATCATTTTGTGCCAAACTGACTTTCTAAAAGCACATCCAAAGTTCTCAACAGAAAGCTGAGCCTAAATTTGTGTGAAAAAAATCTTTTTGTGTCTACCAATGGGGTCTTGTTGATTATTTTGTTTCCGTTAGTTCTAGTAAGTGACCTTTCTTAACTTCCCTGTTTCTAATCTTTACTGCTGTCATTAGGAGCATCTATGTTGGGCTACTTCTAACAAACACAGCAGAAGTTAGAGGATGTTACGTAAGCTGTTCTCCAAGCAGGAACATGCACACTTGCAAAGATATATCTGTTGTTGTTGTTTTTTTATTGCTGAAGCGTAAAGAGGTTTTAGAGCAAAGCAGATCTATCAAACATCCAGTCCTTTGTCTAATTCTCAGAACAATACCATCTACTTCATCATTCATCGCAACTTTAAAAACTCAGTCGGATRGATCAAATAAGTGAAGTCCACACTTTTAAAATTTAAAAAAAATTGTTTCATCACATAGAACAGACAAAAGCAAATGTTCACATCTTTTGAACATTGATTGCTTCACTGGAATTTGATGCATGCAAAGAAGATAATTGAAACTATTTTTCAGGTTTTAAACCTCAAGTTTAATCTTACTGAGATCTCAGAAAGTCATTTTCTGTACTGAGCTTACAAATGAGATGGGCCGAATCTTTTCTCAATGTCTCCGATTTGGATTCAGATACTTCACTGAATGTAAAAAAAAAAATTCAAATTCTGTGGAGATGGTTTCCAGGCTTTGTGTGTGTGTGTGTGTGTGTGTGTGTGTGTGTGTGTGTGTGTGTGTGTGTG